ATTGCTTATAGTATTGTGTTAGTGGTTCAAGATCGTAGACGAAGATGCCGTAAAAGTTATATTTTTTTTGAAAGTTGAGGTTAGGCTGTGCCTAGGTCATCCCGGGTGGTAGGACGTAGCACGCGTAGGGTGAAGGTCGGAGTGCAGGAACAGCGTAGGGGTCGCAAGGGCCAAAGTAATATGCCGCGTGGCAAAAGGGGCGAGAGCGAGCGCAGCGTAAGACCCCGGTCAGGCAATCACGCCGACGGCGACGCCGCTCCTAAGCGGCGAACACCGATGCCAACGTATAGCGAGGGGCAAGGCGTCGACACTGGGGTATAGTCGCGAACATTTCCTGAACACCAGTCTTGAACCTTCCCCATCCGTGAGCAAGTGCGTGTAGTTTCCAAATCAGATCCCTAGAGAAATCTTCGACCCTCAGCTGTATTCTTCCAGGAAAGCCTTCTTCAGGAGGTTCGGATTAAATTTTGTACATTTCTCGACCAACATTTGCGATGTGGCTCTGTTGCTAGAGATTCTAGCTCAAACTATCATGAAAGAGGAGAAATGACTATGAGTTTACGGCATCACCGTCTACGATCTTGATCTGACCCTTTCCAGCGGCTTCAGCACTCGTAGTGTGATATCTGGGATCTCAGCATTTCCTCCAGGCTGAACATCCTCTAGTCCGAAAAAAATGTGTCGGAGCGCGTGCCCCGCGCAAATAGCGCACGGCATCTGTTTTTTTGCTCCAACTATTTCTCGTCAAGAAGCTCACAAGGCTTTCGAATATTATCTGGACACACTTGTATTTACTCGGGGTAGACTCTTCTCGTCGAAGTATAACATTCAAGCAAATCAGCAGTCACTTTCCTCGTCATTCTGCAGATTCACAGCGTACTCCCTCACAAGCAATTGTTTTTGGAAAAGGGGACGTATGCGAGACAAGATGACAGATTGAGGTTTGTTGTTGAACTGTCTATTCATGAGATCATGAGATTCATGAGATTGTCATGTGGAAAATGTTGAAACGAGGAGCGATCTCGGAAAAGGCTCACCAAGTGCGCGCAAAGACGGAACGGTTGGTGAATATTTGCAAGGCTCCACCGTTTTTCAAAACCCGACGAATTTAGAGCACCAAAGTAGATATGTGGAATAAGCTATATATAAACGTAAGGGAAGGCGCAGGTTTGGAGACACTCTTCAGAGAAGGAAATTATGGACGTCCGGAAAGTTGTTACCATATTAATGGCGCACACTGTATTGACAGAAGGCGGGGCGCAGCAAAAATTGCTAATTTTGACCTAGGGGTTTAAATTTGGAGCGAGTTCACGCGGCAGAATAAAGAAACCGATGGTAGGTAGCAGAATGTAGCTAAACTGGATCCAGCAGTCAAGCTGGAGTAAGGAAGAATGAACCCAAGGCAAATGTGTCAGTGTGTGGGATTCGCTGGAAATCAATAGCCCCTGTTTTCTTCGATCAGATCTAAAAAACTCTGGAGAGTGCAGGCGGCGTATCAACATTAACACAAGAAGGAGAAGAGCTCGGCGTTAGCCGGGCGAACCGACTACGACTACGATATGAGGTTGCGTAATATGGAATGCAGTAAGCGTAAAGGAGGAATGGAAGGACAAGTTTTCCGAAGATCATTAGGACCTTGCAACTGTTTTGACTATTATTTACTAGTGTTCCTTCATAAAAAAGAAAAACGAAAGAAAGCAAAGCTCATACCTTGTCTGAATAAAACGCGTATACATAGAAGAGCTTCCCGAATTTGATCCATTTATGTGGTTCTTCACCTTCAGCGTTTTCATTGATGATTTCGCAAAGGAATAGGATTTCTCGACAAACATGAACCCCAGCCTAAAAACGTTTGACATTTACGGCTTACGTTTCGGCGTGATCGCCGTCTTCAGAGCCTAGAAGAATCCAAACAACTTATGACTACCCGATCAAACGCCTCAAGTACCACCCTACGGGGATATTTTGTGACATTACACTAGTCACCCTTTTTGAGGTGTACATTCTACACACTTCCTACTTCGAATCATGGCAGAACACTGAAATATCAAAGAAGTGCTGATCCTGTGGCTGCGCATAATAGCATTCTTACTGGATCAAGTAAACCAGAGGCCCCTTTGGGAGGGCTACAGTTCCCCATGATCTCATAGAATGCTTTCGGTGGAACTTCGATGTCGCGGTATTGTCCGATAGTATACTAAGAGAACGGTTCTCGTCCACTGTTCAGTATCTATCAGTACCACTCTGATCTTGCAAAGCCACTCAACAAACAGAAGATTTATTTACAGATTCCTTCCTTGCATTCCAGACGTGACCTTTTTGATTTGTGTATGTTGCATAGGGTTCTTACTTCTAAAGCTGTAATTGATTTTCCACGATTCTATGATCTCATCCCATCCAAAACCAGGGGTGGAGAACTCAAATTATCCTTTCATAGGCCGAATACTACAATTAGACGGAATTTTTTTACTATTAGGGCTGGACTATCTTTTTTGCGTATCAATAAATCTATATCCATCCGCAGCTCTAGTGCTTCTTTCAAACGGTCCGCAGCAAACTTTATACTACAAGCGTAGGTGTCAAGTTTCTTTTTGTTAAGAATTGTTGTTGAGTTTCATTTACGGTTGTTTCGCATTTATATTTTCTCACGCTGTCTTATATAGCGTATGAAATAAATAAATAAATAAATAAAAAGAGCAGTAGATAGCTAGCATTGCAGAGGATGTATGCACCGACGACGAAAAGAAAAAAGTGATAAACGAGATGAACAGCGACAACACGATGACGCTTGAGCCACAAAAATTTCTTGGTCCCAAGATTGGGCCCTATGCATTCCGTCTAGCTCTTATTTGGTCTTGCAAAATGCACAGGCTGATTGTCAGATACAAAAACACCAGCAAAACATAGCTTCCAAGGAAACCATGACAGAACCTTTATGCATCCTTCTGAATGCATTATTAATCTGTAGCAAATATTGTAGAATGATTTACACTACTTCACGGATGTTACTAAATGAGCTAACTGTGCTCAAAGAAAAGACCATTACATTGTTCTCTGCATTTCGAAGCTACATTAGGAAATGGAATAGCCTGAGGAATAGTCAGATATACGTTTAAAGTAGCAAAATTTAACAGCCACTATTTCAGTGTAAGGAGGTGGTGTAGTGGTAAGTGACGCACTATCGCCCATGCATGGTCAGGGGTTCGAATCCCAGATCGATATCCGCCTAGACCAACCAAGTCTTCCATTCCTCCGAGGTCGGTTAATTGGTACCACACTCGTCTGGGAGGATAAAAGCATTGACTTGTGCATAGGTTGATCATCGCAATTCATTGTATAGGCCACATACGCACTCATTACGCCACTACGAACTTGAATTGAAGTCGAGTGCGGGGCGCATGCCTCAGACGGGATTGATTCATGCCGAAAGTTTTATCCCCTATCCTTTATAGTATGCATGCTTCAGAGCAATAAACATCGAACATTGTCAAGTTATTCCTACGACAGTACTTTCCTGGTCGAAAGACAAGTGTAAGTAAACAAAGCAAAAACAAAGCTGATAAGAACTTGTCTAATTATTTATGCAGTGCAACTGAGCAGGATAGTAAGGGAGGGGG